CTCTTTTTTAAATATGGGATACTGGGTAAACTTCTAAATTTGTTTTAAAAAAATTTAATTTTAAAATGCACAAATTCATCTGAAAACATTTCAACTTTGAAATCAGAAAAAGAAAAAAGAAATCCAATGGGCGAGAAAGGACACATAAAAGCAGTTGCACCAATGTAACTTTTTATCTTAACGTTAATCCCCCTTTAATTTTTTCTTTCTTTTTACTTCAATAATCAGCAATGGTATTCCAAACCAGACAAGATTCGATTCCCCAGCTAAAAAACTTTGTTTAGAGGGAATAATATTTTATGGGCGGTTCACACTTGACTAGATCTAAAAGTCAGTGCTTAATTTTAAGTCTGTTGTTTTTGTCTGAATCAGGAGGACGAACTACACGTGAAAAAAGGCATTTTTTTTTAGGGATTGAAAAATCTGAGAATTAAAAGGGTTAGGACTTAGGAAAGCTAATTTTAGAGAATGTAATTTTTGCATGTCTTCATTTAATTGGAAAAGGACACAGCATGCGAAGGAGGATGACAACCCGCGAAGGAGGATGGCAACAATTTAGGGTGTTCTGCCGCTGGGTTTCGCTGGATCTGGGCCATGGAGGAGAATGATATATGGAGTAGAGGCCCACTGTCCCCCACACATAATATCTGTCCCTGAAAGGGTTTGAAATTGCTGATGATTGGAACAGTTTTGGACCAGGTTCCATTCACAATTGGGTTGTATAATGGGAAAGGTGGCAGGTGGAATGTAGAAGGTGGCTTTTATTGCAAAAAAGGGTTGTTATATTTTATCATTGAGTGGAGGAAAGCCACCCCAATAATTTAACTTTCTAAACAAAACTTGTGCTTTTGAAAAGTTTAAAAAGGAGATCTTAGAGTCTAAGTAAAGGTATTAGGATTGAACCAAAAAAAAAAAACCTAATCTTCACTCGTATACTTTTTAAACAAGTTGATGTATTGTTTATTTAAAATAAATTTTGAAAAAATGGAAAACTAAGGTGTCTAATCATAATTATAAAACTAAACATCTTAATTTTTATTTTTCTCATAACATTTACTAAAAATGATAGATATTGTGAGACCGAAAGGATTTATCATTGATCCGTCACAGCATTAAAGAACTTAGAAGTGTTTAAAGAAAAAAAAAATAATTCCTTAATAAATCCGGTTGCTGTTGCCTTTTCTCAAAATATATACTTTACCAGGCCTCTACTCAAAACTATTGTCTTCTTTCACTATGGCATTACTTGTGAAAGCAACCACCCAGCTTTTTCCTTAAACGTATACACATCCAATCCAACCACTGGAAAATGACTCCCACCATATTTTTTTTCATGTTCCCAACAACCTTTTCGTACTCTAATTGTTCCAAGATTGGTATAACCCCAACATGATTAATAATTAACACAAAAATGCAATCTTATGTTCTTGTGTTACATGTACATAAGGAAATGAACGCATTGGTTAATAAATAAGCTATCGTGGGACCGGAGTTGCCGGGATTGAAATGGTCTGGACCGGGTTTGACTAGACTAGTTCGGGGCCAATGTAGCTGTTTCCAGATGAAGAGGTGGAGAGGGTGGTCATGCCATTGCAGTCTGACACACTGTCTTGCAAGCTTAACAATAAGTGGGATGTACTGAAGGTCGTTGAGGGCTTAGTTCTTGGGACAATTGGGACGTCAGCTTCACCCACTAGCATCTGGACCACACTCCTCATTGTGGGTCGAGCCATTGGATCAGGGTGCGAGCAAGCTAGTCCAACCATCAATACCCTCCCCATCTCAGCCTCGTCGTATTCGCCCTCTAGTCTTGGATCAGCCGCCGTTAGTGGCCTCCCTTCTCGGTGCAAACTCCACACCCATTCCACCAAATTGGTGCTCACCCCAACTTTCCCAGCTTGATTCACATCTCTCTCAATCGGTCTCCTTCCGCTTGCCACCTCCAGAACGACCGCCCCGTAGCTAAACACGTCTGTTTTTTCTGTGGCCCGTCCAGTCAGGATATATTCTGGTGCCAAATAGCCCATTGTTCCGGCAGCCACCGTGGCGTCCGGGGACTTATCGTGTTCCACTTGCCTAGCCAAACCGAAATCCCCTAACCGGGCATTAAACCCTTCATCCAACATAATGTTGCTGGTCTTGACGTCTCTGTGGATGACCTGATTTTCACATTCTTGATGCAAATAGGCCAGAGCAGAGGCAACTCCCAACAGGATTTTCCGACGATGAGACCACGGCAACGGCGTTCTTGCCTCAAATAATGCTTTGTCAAGACTCCCATTTGGCATTAGATCATACACTAACAAAATTTCTCCTTTCTCTTGGCACCATCCTTGTAGCCTAACAAGATTCCGATGCCGGAGAGTCCCAATTATGGACAGTTCAGATAGGAACTCATTCTTCCCTTGAGTACTATGACTGCACCTTTTCACGGCCACAATGTCGCCGTTATCTGCTAGTATACCCTTATAAACAGTCCCGAATGCACCATGGCCGATGATTCTATTGGCATTGAAGCACTTCGTCGCCGTTCTGATCTCCTTGTAGGTAAATTCCTTCGGCGTTTTGATAATACCGGAAGCAAAAGATTCCGATTTCTTGACATGTTTGACCTTTTTGGAGTAGACCCATATGAGAACTCCGGCAAAGATGGCTAAAACGAACGCCCCTGCAGTCACCACCCCTGCAACCGCCCCTGCACCCTGCTTACAGAGCTGGTTATGACAAGAAGATGACTTACTGCTCTTCTGTTGAGTGCTGGCGATTGAATCAGAGCTAGACGGAGCCAATGAAGGCGGCGGCGCTTTCACTGAATTAGCCGTCGGGGTCATCAAGCTCGAAGTTGGAGGAGGCGGTGCCGTTGACCCAGAATCCGAATTGGACTCGAATGTAGAGCTAAAACTCCACCACTCTATACTGTGAATCTCTGTACTCCCCTGAGTCGAACCGGAGAACCCCACGTACATAAAATCGTTCACGTGTTGACCCAGATCAAGACTGAAAGACAGTAATGGCTCTTTCGGCTTCAAATTGGAATAGGATACTGAAATATTGAAGACCTGAGATGAACCGTCGTACTGGATCCAGGAATTTACGAGATTTCCACTCCTGAGATCGATGTCCAAAACACCCAAATCCCCAACTTGAGAAGAAACCATACTGTTAAGATCCAAACCCACATGGTTCCCGTTAATGTCCTTAAACTCCACATCCATGAGGGTATCAAACTCCACTGCCACAAATCCGGTGGAAAGCCCATTGTCGTCGACGAGCCCGAGGGACCCACCTGCGGCACCAACTGATTCCCCATCCGGAGCGATGACAAAGGCAAGCCCACCACCGATCGAGGAGGGATTCAGGTTAGTGATGGAGAAGGAGAAGAAAGTAGTAAAGCTACAAGGAGAACGAGACCCCGGCTGCCTGAATCTCACCGGTTTCGAATACAACACCCTGCCGGCACCGGAATTAGGTACCGGGAGATCCGGAGTAAGGATGACGCTGTTATTTTTCAGGTGGGCATCACCCAGGAGCTTCAAGTTGCTGAGAGTCAGAGTGCCGAAATCAAACTCAGTAGTAGCAGAAACCCTAACAAAATCGAAGAAAAAACAGAGCACTAGAAGATGGAAAACTGATGAAACGCTTGAAATCTCAAACATTATCGATTAATTAGCAATTATCAATACCCATTTGAGATGAGGAGAAAGGATTCTTTTTTTTTTTTTTTTGGAGATTGAATTCAGCTTCAGGGTGTTGATGTTGAGTAAGAGAAGAGGAAAGAGGCAAAAGGGGGGCAGTATTCTTTGCCTTAAAACAGAACAACCATAGGAAACAAACAAGGAATACTGTGAAGGAGAGGAGAATCCAAAGGACGACTGAAGGAGACAGGTGGATGGGTAGGCTGCCACGTGGCCACTTGCAACGGTTATTTTTTCGGCGATAAAAATACCTTTTTTAATATTTTTTGCTCACAGTTCGGACATTTCTGTTATCTCACGCGGATGAAAGCTACGTGACTTCCATTGAAGTCACATTGTGAGAACATAGCTGTTGTGGTTGGCCGAAAAATTCGCAACAAAAAAAGAATGTGAGACTAACAAAATTTTAATCGAAGGAATAGGCTTGATCAGATTTTAAAATGAAATGATTGTGAGGTATTTTTATCCATTTTCAGACTTTTGAGCTTTTTTTTTTTAATAGAAAAATGATTTTAAGATAATTTTTTAATATTATTTTTTGATACAATTGACATATTATTTAAATAATTAAAATTTTTTTATTTATATAAAATTAATAAAATTAAATATATTTATTCATTTAATAACATATAAAAATTATATCAAAAAATATATTAAAAAATTATTTCTATAATACTATCCTTTTTAATAATGCTTTTTATATTTAATGCCTTATAAAATCCTTTTTAAGCCCTGCTCTTTCATTTCCATCCATTCTCACTCATGGGTAAATTTAATTTTTATTTGAGTCAAAACTGAACCATAGGATTATTTTAAAAAAGATTAACCAAAATTTATAAAATTAATAATCTTAATTTAGTTAATAGTTATTATTTCTTTTATTTTAAAATAATTGTTATTTTTAATTTTTTAAAATTAAAAATTTAAGAGATAATTTATATTTATATATTATTTTAAAAAATAAAAAATAAAGTAAAATTTTATATAATAAAATAAATAATTAAAAAAATAAATAATACTACAATTAAATTAAAATTTTTTGTTTATTTTAAAAAATAAAAAAATAATAATTAATTTAAAATAAATTAAAAATTAAAAATTTTTAATTATTTTGAGATAAAAAGAGGAAAAATTAAAACAAAAAGTTCGGTAAATGGTTGGTAGCGTACCCGCCGAAGTTCGCGTACTCGAATGCTCGTATCAGCGCGTGGATTTACCCACCACGGCCAGGCAAAGACAGCGGAAGATAAGAGTTAAACTGACGTGTTCACTGTTCAGAGAAACAGCGGAAAGTGCACGTGACTTTAGTCAAAGGAAAGCCAATGGTAATTCTGTAAACATACGCCGGTGTGCGCCATGCGCACGCCGTGTCCACGTCAGCCCATAGGAATGATGACTCCCGAGGCCAAGGGGTTGCTTGGGGAAATTGCTATGGCATGGGATTGCGAGAGTTTTTCTAACCAACGAGTTTGATCTCTAGTGCAAGATGATGGCTGGCTGGGCTGAACCGGGGGACACTGTACCAATGAGATTGAAGAAATGGGCATGTGGTGGTCCCTGGTGGACCACGTTTGGTGGACATGCTGACATGCTGAAGGATATACAATGATTGTTAGTTGTCTGGTTTCCATTGGATTGGAGGATCAAGATGGAGCCATGGGATTAGAGACAAGAAGTGCCATGGAATGTACATCACAATTGCTTTTCATATTTTAAAATTTGATTGGATATTCTACACCGTCCCAGTTATTTTGTACTAAAACAACTCCTGATTTTTCTAACATTAGAGTTGGATTCTAACTTACCCCTTTAAATTTGGATGAAAAATCTTTAATAGGAGAGTAATAGTCATTAAATCACTAGAACATTCTTAGACAACTCTTGATATTAAAAATTTTTTTATTTAAAAATTTATATTTTATAATTTGATGGAAATGATACGGCAAAGTAAAAATTTATTTTTATTATTTTGAGTTACAAACTCTTTTTTTGTTTGCACATGGATATTCCTATAAAAATGTATGTCTTTTAAGAATATTTATGTAATTAAAAATTTTAAGTTTGAATTTTAAAATTGATAAAAAAAATTTAAGAAAAAAATAATTATTTTTTATTATATAATTTATTATTTAACATATTAAAATAATAAAAAATAATAAAAATATATTCTGCAGCCTAAATTGTGTTCAATTACATAACAATAAGGAAAAGCTTTAGTCAAAAGCTTGTGTTTTATAATTTAGTATAAAAACGGCAAACTTTTCAATATTATCGCCAATCCAACGTGTTACAATTGGTACTAAATTATTTTGGTACTTTTTTCCAATTTTAGTTGTGACAACTAAAGTTACACGGAAGTGGTAAACATAATACAATTGATAAAAACTGATAATGACATAGAAGGGCTTGGACCCAGAAATCTAGCACCGGTAGAGGTTAGGGTACATAGGCCCAAATTTTCTAAAACAGGAGATGTGCTTAAGTAGGAATCCTATTGATTGACATAGCGACAATCCTCTCTAATTTCTCCTTCATCGCCGGTGAGCGGATTGTTCTCCGATACCAAGAAGATAGCCCTGGGAAATTGGTCTTGGAAATAGCCGTTATCGGCGGACATCTTCTCCACAAAAGGAGATGTAACCGGATCGGAAGCCAGCTCCTGATCCCCCTTGTAGCAGCCCCTTGTGTTTCAACAAGATTTTGAATATTCTGAGACACGGAAAAGGGAATGAAAAACAATTCGCCTTTTCATGCATGTTAGGGATGTGGTTGATAGAACCGATTTTACCAATTTGAACTAAAAAGAACAATTCACATGCACATATGGGTGGGCTTACTGCCTCACCTTAAATAGTTAATGTTATCTAATTTTAATATAATTGTCTATTGTATCATTATATTATTATTTTTTTTCAAATTTTTTATTTTTTAATAAATTAAATAATATAATAATCAATTAAAATAAAAATATATAATATTAATAATTAAATGTATAACAATAATATCACTCTGGACATATACCTTAACTCCTCAATCATGGAAGAGATTCCGAACCCATGAAACAGCTGTATTTACTTGTTTATTGTACAAATGGATGACTTCTTGTTTTATGATCTCTTCAGCATTTGGACAGCTTTGTGCGTAGAAGTTTAATTGAAGATCACTTTTGCCTGCACTATTGTGTTATTATTTTCCCTCTTACACTAAGGATCTGTTTGGTACAGCGGTTAAAATTTAACGGATAGTGGATAGTAGGTAATTTGGACAGCTTTGTGCGTAGAAGTTTAATTGAAGATCACTTTTGCCTGCACTATTGTTATTATTTTCCCTCTTACACTAAGGGCCTGTTTGGTACAGCGGTTAAAATTCAGCGGATAGTGGATAGCAGGTAGCGGATAGCAGGTAGCGGATAGCAGGTAGCGGATAACGGATAGCGGTAGTGGGTAGTGGGTAACAGGTGGCGGTTAGTGAATAGCGGATAATAGATAGCGGAAAGTGGATAGCAAATAATAAATAGCGAATTCAATAAATATAACTGTTTGGCTATACAATGGTTAGCGGTTGTTATTTAACATTAAATGACTAATAAGAACATGTTTAAAAACAAATAAGTATATTTTTTAAAATATTTTTATTTTTTATTATTAAAATTATTAATTTTATAAAAA